CGAAACAGGCGACCCTCACCCAACCAACCAACCAACCAATCAATCAATTTTGTTCAATTTAAAAAAAAAAAAATTCAATGTTTTTCGTTTTTTTCAGTTGTTTATCTGGTTATGAAGTTCTAGCCTCTAGGGTGATGAATGGTGTCGTACATGTACTTTTTCCCTGCACCTGAGCCTTTTTTTTTTCAAAAAATAAAATAGGAGATTATAGCCTTTTTTATAGGACCATTTGATCCATTTCTCAATTTATGTGTGTCATCCTTTGCGTAGGGGCAATGCTAATCTTTTTTTTTTTTTAATTTATGCAGCCATCCTCTCCTCATATGGGGGACATTGGGGACAGTTTTTTTTTTTTTTTTTTTTTTTTTTTTTTTTTTTTTTTTTTTTTTTTTTTTTTTTTTTTTTTTTTTTTTTTTTGGACAGTTGTATATTTCACCTGTCCTATTTTCTTCTCTCTCACCTCACATTAACTACCCGTATCTACGGCAGGATCTAGAGCTTAAACCACCAGTACTTGGCCCAGCTATCGGCCGCGGGAAAAAATAGACTAGAAACGTTTCTTGTCAGATGAATTTGGACGCTCCTGTACTGGCCTGTACATTTCCTAAAACTGTGGCTTGTTTATGGGCACAAATTTAGCAAGTACTGGTGGCTTAAGGCTACTCAGCTACCATCTTCACCCGAATAGAACGCCCGGTCATTATCGCTGCATCTGGACCGACAGTTGTGCCAAATACACTATAATGACCGGGCGTTCTATTCAGGTGAAGACAGTAGTGCAGCATCCAGAGCTCACAGTCTAAGGCTATCTTAAAGTTAGGATTAACTGAAAAAACTTCAAAAAAGGCAATCCTAAGGTTATGGGTCTACGCCTACCTATCTCTGCTCTGTGCGGGGGAGCAGCACCCAAGCGCCTAACACCTCGCGCGGGCTGGAAAGTGCCTAAATCGCTTCCACACACACAACCAGCCAGGAGGCCCAAGCCGACAATCTCCGCTGATGAATCCGAAGCATACCCCCAGGAGGCCGCGGGGATCGAAAGGACGGCGTTGGGTGGCCTGGCGTGGCCATGCTAATCTTTTTTTTTTTCTTTTTTTTTCTTTTTTTCTTTTTTGGAGAGAGAGAAGTGTCACATTTATTTCAAAATATTGGGACTGAGGCCGGGAATCCTCACAAACAACCCCGGAGTAATTTTGCAAAACGCCCGAATTGAGCATATGCTGGAAAATGGGTCCAGCGTCCCCTCCCTCCTCCTCTTCAGACAATTCTCCCAAAATAGCACGTTAAGCACAGTAAAAATATATCCGGGCTAGTCTTTTTTTTCTGTATCGTTCCAAGTTTAGCGGATGTCCCAAAGGACGCCTGAGCCTTTTTCCGAACGTACGAGTGCTTTCACGCTTGCTCTGACTGGTTGTGTGAAGTTAGGCTGAAGAACACTGGTGACTGCACCTTAATCTTCATTTGATCTGGTGGTCCATGTTCAGAGTCTTCAGACAAGCTGTTTTTTTTTTTTTTTTTTTTTTTTTTTTTCACAAGCAGGTGATGATGAAGCTAGGGTGAAGAATGGCACAATTTGTACAAAGTTTCCACAGCCGGGTCTGGGTTCACTCTTGCTTGATCTGGCTGTGAAGGCAGGTCTGAACACTCTTTGTCCATCGTAAAAAAATATGTACTCGAAAGTTTCCATGAGCGAACCTTCTTCTGATCCGGCCCAGGTTCACACTTGCTTGATTTGGTTGTGATTTTGAAGGTAGGTCTGAACACTCTGTCACCATGGTAACGTGTACGCAAAGTTTTCCGCAGCCGAACCTTCTTCTGATCCTGTCCAGGTTCACTCTTGCTTGATCTGTTTGTGAAGGTAGCTCTGAACACGCTGTCCATGGTAACGTGCACGCTCATCTTGGGGAGCATTTTGAAAAATGGAAAGTCGTACGTCTCCGAAGAAGCAGAGGAGGTGTTCATGGCGTACTGTCGGCGATTCATCGACGAATGTACTGCTGCTGAAGAAGCGGGCGATCGAACGGGAGCTGACGGAACGCCAGCTCGTGTTCTGCGACCACCAGCTCCAAGATTGACTTTTGAAACATTTTGGGAACAAAGGTTGAGTTACCTTTTCTTTCACTATTAATTTATTATTTACTATGTTATTAACTTATTATAATTACATTACAATTATTCTTAGCTTAAGTATTTTAACCACCAGTACCTCCGAGCCTCGTCTTTAACCCGACCCAAATTTGGACTGCACGCCAAAGAAAGACGAACCGCCAGCAGCACACTTCCCTCCTCCCCCCC